ATCTATCTATCTATCTATCTATCTATCTATCTATCTATCTATCATATTTATATGGCCGCCCATCTCACGAAACATGACTCTGGGCGGCGTATAATCAAACCATAAAAACAAATTTAAAAAATAGTCAACAAATAGAACACTTAAAATTATTATTAAAAGGCTAGGAGAGAACATCAGATATTATGAACAATGGAGTCACCTCAGTAGATCACCATTCCCTTGTGAACCCCCAGGCCTGTTGACACAACCAGATTTTGAGGGACTTCTGGAAGGTTGGCAGAGATGGGCCAACCTCACCTCGGGGGGGCGGGATGATGTTCCACAGGGTGGGTGCCATGGCAGAAAAGGCCCATCTCCTGGGTCCCACCAGATGTAACTCTTTGGCAGGTGGGACCCGCAACATACCTCTTCTGCCAGACCTGATGGGACAGGCAGATGTAATTGGGGAGAGGTGGTCCCCCAGATAGCCCAGCCCCATGCCATGAAGGCCCTTAAGGTCAAAACCAGCACCTTGAATTGGATCCGGAAACAAACTGGTAACCAGTGCAGCTTGCAGAAGGGATGTAAAGATATAAAACTTGGTCTCTTATTTTTGGGTGCCTCAAAACTCTTTCGTTCTCCAACATGCAGCCCCCACCAGCATCCCGGAGAAAAGATCTGAGCAGCTGTTTGACAACATGGAATACTTCCAGGACAAAGAAGATGACTTACATAGGAACTACAATGACCGTGCCTACTTCAGCTCCGAGGACCTGATCCGAGATGACAGCCAGATAGGTATGGGTGAGGTTGTGCCTAGGTCCTGATTCCAGGGTGCCTGTGTGTGTAAACGTAGGATGTAGTGTTACAGACTTTATCTTCCAGAGACACCCAGTATGCATTTCGTTTATTTTAAAGAAGCAAGTTTCTAGTCCTTATGACTGATAAAAGGGCCTCAGCATATGGTGATGCATGTTGAAATCTTGAAGCACAAAAGACTGTGTCTGGAGAAGCTTTCCAGTGGTTTGTGATTAGCCATTAACCCAATTAATGCATTATTCAACATTAATCTAATTAATACATTATACATTAATTGGGGGTCAGTGACCTGGACATGGCCACTCTTTAGGGCTCTCAGGACATTGGGGTGGGGTGGAGTTGAGTACGGTCTGCTCCATGTTTTTTTTTTTTTAAATAAGAAAACTATTTACTTAGAATAGTACATGAATTCAGCCACTGTTTTGCAGTGTGAGGAAGTACTGCACCGTTCATAAACTGGGCTGTGTAAATTATCCAAATGAATGTCTGAATCCAAAGTAAATCCCACAGAGTTCCTAATAATAATATATAGAAAGTACAATTAAAAGACAAAACAGAGAGTATAGCAAAGAAAGACAATGGAACTAAAAGGAAAAAGACAAAAACTAAAATAGTGAGAATAGATAGAAAGATGAAACAGAAAATGACTTCCGACTATCTCCAGTACAGATATAGATACATATTAAAAGAAAGTTAATCTCTTACCACTAATTAATCCAAATTCACATCATTTCTATCAACACAAACCATCTAATCATTAAAACCCACAATCAAAGCCTCATTTTTTCCCCACACAAGCACATAATCTAAGAAAGGTTGCCATGAGGAGACAAATTTAGACCCAGTATTATCTCTTGTTAACGCTGTTAACTTCACCGTTTGAGCCAGATCCATTAATTTAATGATCCATTCTTCCACTGTAGGTATTTGGGATCCTTCCATCTTTGCTCATGTAGCAGTCTTGCAGCTGTGATCATATACAAAACCAAAGTTCCATGTTGTTTCTCCAATCCTTTCTTCATCAAACCCAATAAAAACAGTTCTGGTGTTTTTTTTGAATCCTCACTTTAAGAATCGTTTGGATAGCAATACATCTCTGATCCCAAATTTGTTTAGCCTTTTCACAGGTCCACCAAAGATGATCAAAGGTTCCTTCGCCCTGCAAACATTTCCAACCAACATTTGTTACACCAGCATACATTTTTGATAACTTACCAGGAGTTAATTACCAACGATACATCGTTTTATAAAAATGTTCTTGGTCCGCTCCATGTTTTTGAATATGGAATACTTAAAGAGAAATATGGTGGCTGTATTCATACAACACGCTTAACCAGGACAGGTGAAGATCTACTGACTGCATTCCCACAGTGTGCATGATGTATGGAGGCATCAACAGCTCAGCTTGAGATTGTCTTTATTTTGCTAATGCCTCCATTTTCTACCCTTTCTGCTCACACGGTCCAGCCCTAAAACAAGCTTCTGACATTTCTATGCAGGTTTTAAAATACGATGGCCTGCCATTTGCTTTATGAATGAATGGTACAGATATGAGAATAAGCAAGTTCAGTTACCCCCATAACCTCTCATTTGGAAGGGCTAAACTACAGGCTTGTATTTATTAATGACAGGCATTAAATATATTTGCATGCTGCTTCCCTTGCACTCTAAAAGAAGCATTCTAAAACTTTCACTCATTTTTAAAAGTGGAAGAAAAAATAGAACCAAGATAAAAACCAGATTATATTCGCACTGGGAAGGCCAGATAAAGGCATAGGTTTTTGATGGCCGCTGAAGAGATGGCGATTTATGAATTTCAGGAGAGAAAACTTTCCACCCTAAATGTGCAACTTTTGGGAAGTTGCTCATAAGTAACTGCAAGACGATCCTCTGAAATTCTCAGCATCTGCATGAGGAGGACGTCTCCAGATGATCTAAGCCAGTGTTTCTCAATCTCAGCAACTTTAAGATGTGGAACTTCAACTCCCAGAATTCTCCAGCCAGCATGGCTGGCTGGAGAATTCTGGAAGTTGAAGTCCACACATCTTAAAATTGCTGATGTTGAAAAACACTGATCTAAGCAATCAACTTTGCCTGTAATCAAGGATCCTGGTGCCAAATTATTTTGGATCTTACAGTTTTAAGAGCCAAACCTTGAAGCTGATTTGAGAGTTGACTGCAAATGCAATGCTTACAGCAGCTGGGCTACATACAGTATATACCATCAAGTGACCATTTAATAACCTTCATGTCGCTGTCTGTGCCTGTGGCACCTTTCAAACTGAGTAAAAAGATAGCTCCATGGAGCATATTATAGTAATCTAAGCATGAAGTTATCAGGGCAGGGACAATAGCAGTGACTGACTAGGAAGGGTGGACTTTTGTACCAACCAAAGCTGGTAATACGTTGATGTTCTTAGCCATGGAGGGCACTTGGGTCTCTAAAGATGGTGGTGTTGCGTTTTCTGAGAGAGCGCAACCCTTTTCGGAAGCTGTAAACTTTCTATGTCCATACCTAGACATCAACCAGTCCAAAGGTCTCCATTTTATCTGCATGCCATTTCTGTTCCATCCTTTTTTAATTTTAATTGAGTGTGGCTGTTTGGGCAACTGTGATTTGTGAGGGTATATATGTGTAAATTCCAGGGCATACACTATAACAGAGAGGGGAGCTTCAATGGTTTTGAACAAATTTGTAAGACACGTCTGTAAATGCTGTTATTTCATGGTTTCACCTCTATATATCTTCACTTTTTAAACGATGTTATTTTGTACCTGCCCAGAGCCTATTGAAATTGGGTGGCTATATAATAATATATTTAAATAAATAAATAATTAAAAATTAATTAATTAATTAATTAATTTCCAGGTAATTTGCAGGCAATGTAAGATCATGCAAACTTCTTTTTTGCTTCTCAGATTTTGTGGCATTGCTGATTGGAGGCTCAGAGCCAAGGCTGGCGACCACCAGTGCGGTGGCAAAGGCCAGATTCACTTTCACCCACTTGCATCTGATCTTCTCCATTAGCTATGAGAGGTAGGTGAGTCTCAGTCATGACTCCATCCAATACATAGGAGTGGGGTGGAGGAATTTCCCATGAGAGGCCAAACTCATCCAATTATGTTCAAGACAAACCAAAGAATCGTAGAATGTATGAGTTGGAAGGTACTTCAAAAGTAATTTAGTTGAACCCTCTGCTCAGTGTAGGAATCTACATGAGGATCCCTAAGAACCCAGCCCTGGTTTTAACAACTTCAGCAAGGGAGAAGCCACCAATCGTCTAGGCTGACTATTCCACTGCTTAATTAGTCTTCTCATCCTAATGTTCCTAATATTTAGCCTAAACTTACTTCCTATTAATATCAACCTGTTCATCCCTTACACTATACGTAGGGAAATCATGGAATTGACTCCTAGAAGGTATAGCGAGGGCTCTCAACAAGATGGTTTAAAAAAGGAAATAGATTCCTGAAGAATAAGTTCATTGGTGGTTATCATTATGTCTAATTGCTGAAGAGCTCAAAGATGTTACTATGGTCCCCAATCTAGGAGGAGGACTTCCCAAGATTTGCAAGCATGGCAAATAGGATGGTGGTTTAGGTAGGTTTGGAATGGGTTACACCTCAAGGACTACTTTTGGGGTGCCGGGGTGCCCCACTGATTCCCCTCCTGCTGCTAGCTGCAGCTACAGGATATTGCTGGTTTCTGTTGCTGTTCCTTGTTGAAAGTGAGCAATTTGTTTCTCTGCTGGCCAGGGAGAAGAAGCCAGGTCACTGACAAAGAGAAGTTTTTCATTCTTCTCTCCCTCCCAGCAAAGAAGCTCACTGCTTCCATATTCATAAGAGACATGGGAAACTAGCTGATTTTCCCAGAATTGCTAGAAGGAAAGGGGAAACTACAAGGTCTCCCCATGTTCCAGTGCTCTAGCAGGTCTATTTCCATCTCCCAAAATGATGGCTGGGGAATTCTGGGAGTTGAAGTCCACACATTAAAGTTGCTGAGGCTGAGAAACACTGCTCTAGAACATACAAAGTATCAGTGATTCTTAAGGCATGAGCTTCTTCAAGGAGTTGGACCTCATATGTGCCATGACCTCGTTACATAAATGATGCCATTGGGCAACCATGTCATGATGTGTGTGATGTCATCATGACTTGCCACAGATACTTATGGTTTAAGGGCTAATGGTGGCTCCTGTGAGCTGAACCTGGCCCTGCCATTTGGCATTCTGGTTTGTAGTTACTTAACAACCTTTCAGCTTTCAGCCAAGCTCCCTTTCTGGATTCTCCAGGAGGGAGTGAACATAGCAGTCGAATAGACTTCACCTTGGAGAATCCTGCTTGCTTGCTCCCTCCCTCCCTCCCTGTCTTTCTGTCTATCTAGAAAATGCTAACAGGATTTATTTTAAGTAAGATATTATTATTATTATTTATTTGATTTGTCCCCGCCCATCTCCCCACAACAAGATATATTTTATAAACACACACACACACATACAAAACTTTTAAAAGAAGATAAAAACTAATACAAACTAATATAAAGTAAGGAAGAAAAAAAGAAAAAGCAAGAAGTGAAAAAGAAAGAGAAAGCAAAGAGTGCAAGAAAAGAAAGGTTAAAGAAAAATAGAAAATAAAGAAAAAAGATGCAAAAATGTGGCTTCTGATATTCTTCACAGCAGTTGTAAGTACAATTATATTTAACCTCTCCCTCTGAAGTTACATCATAATACTCTTATTTCTATCATCTGTTCTAATTATCAAAGCCATAAATCACAAGTTCATTTTTTTTTCATTTTTATGCAAAAATATCACACTTTGCCCTAAATCATCATCCATGGTTTACAGCTTGCGACAGTGGAGTTCACAAAACATGCCAAACCCAACCCAACCCAACCAAACCCAACCCAATCCTATTACAGCTTAGCCAAACATGTGAACTTCTCCGGAGGGTGAAAAGATGAATGCCAAACTCTTCCTTGGGCTTAAGTTCAGCTTCTGTCCGCCCCGCGCCCCCGTTCTTCCTCCTGGTGCTCTAGAGCCCCTTCCAACAAGCAGCTGCTATTTCTCTAATAACTTTACGGATCTGCTCTGTCTTCCTCCCAGGCCCAAAGCCCTTCCCTGCGCAGTTCTGATGTTGATGATTGAAAACAAATTGGAAAGCCAGGGTGGAGGGGAGGGGATGGGACATTGTCCAATAAACAATTTGGGTGTCTTGATCCTTCCAGGCCAGCAGCCCCTCTTGCTCTCGCTCTCGCTCTCGCTCTCGCTCCAGACTGGGTTTAGCGAGGGTCTTTCTGCCTTGTGCTCGGCTGGGGTGCCGAGGGGGGGTGTTGGTGTTGATTGATTAACCTTCCCTCCTGCCATTCTGAAATCTGCCTTCAGCTTGCTCCACGAGCTGACTTGCACCCCGCCTCTCCAGCACAGAGAGCCCCCCTCGTTTTCCAGGCCTTTGCATAGCCAAGTGATGACTAATTTCCAAATGCGTGCTCAGATCCCCAAAGCAGCCTTAGTGGTTGTTATGATTCCCGGCAAGGCCAAAACATGACAGCTTCTCAGACCTGGGGAAGGAGGGAAGCCCGCTCGGCCTCCAGGAATTGGCGGGGGGTGGGGAAGGAATGGTTTTTGGTTGCCAAAGACATCGTCCCCTTTATTTATTTATTTATTTATTTAAAGATTTGCACAGGTTTGGTGAGAGTTGGCGGGGGGTGTTGTTCTTATTTTTTTAAACTTTTAAAAACATTTTTTCAAGTTCTTTTAAACTTTTTTTAGGGGTGGTTGGGCCTCTCCGAAAGTGCACACTTTTGTAAAAAAATCGCTTTTATTGAAAATTAGACGGGAAGTCACCCCGCAGTGAAATTCAGTTTTCCACTGAATTTTTTTTTAAAAAGGCTTCAGACTGACTTCCCTACTGTAGACAGACATCTAGCAGGGAGATAGTTGTTGGTAAAACCAAGGAATTGATGCTGTAGTTTACACAATACACTTACCCTAGTTATCCTGGATTAACCCCTTTTCTGGGTTTGCATAATACACAGAATGATAAACTAAACAAACCAGCTAGAATAACTCAGGACACTAAAGCGTGACAACACACACCCAGAACTGTCAAAAATGTTGATTAACCAATTGGGCATGTGGTGGGAATGCATTTCTTTATCTGTTTAAACAGACTTTATCTGTTCTAGCTAATGTTATTTGAACAGAGCCACAGCTTGTAGAGAGCATATTCCTATATACTTTAAAAAAATAGCATTCTACAGGTATCATTGAAAATGAACTGGAAACATTTTTAGAATAGTTAAAAAAACAATGGTATATTTACAATAATGCTTGGTGCCCAGCACCTTATTCCCTATGTAGCTGAGAATGGAATATTCAGGATTTTTCCTTGGGTTTTTGGAGAGAATTTAGATTTTTAAAAGATTATATTACATTTTAAGGCTTATCTACCATTTTTATGTTGTTTTCTGCCTTGAAATGGAAAAAAATTGAAACTGGGAAGTGTTGTTAGAGGCAGCGCTGAAGGGGTTTCATGAAGCCATGGGTCACAGATTACCAATCTCCACTTAGGGCTTTAGTTGCTGGATCGTTCACTTCGTTTGCTTGCTCCCTGTTTGAATGTACATTGGAAAACCAATACAGTAGATGCTGCTAAAAGATTTCAAGGATCCTATACACTATCATTACCTAAGAACTAACTCGTAAAGGTGTCTTTGGAGTTTCCAGTTTGCTTGGAGAAGAACAAAGAACCAGTACTGAAACAAAGATTTACATTATTTTTGGATAAGGTGACAACTGCTGATTTATTTGATCAAATCAGTGCTTTGAAGATATTATTAAGTAATCATGGACCTGACTGAAGATCCTATTGGTTTTCAGATGGCTAGCTAAAGAAGCAAATGGCCATTTTTAGAAAGTGGTTTGAATACCCCAAAGTCCACCCTTGATGTTGACTTCTGTTTCTGGAGACCCGAAGAAATGAATGTTTCCTTTGTTGGAGTGCTAGATTCTGCTCACATCCTCTACTTCTTGCCTAGGCTGAGCCAACCAATCCGAGTCCGTTTCTTGGAGCCAGATGGAACCATCCTTTTTGAACATCCTGTACAACAGGGTACCATCTTCCAAGATGGCATGGTAAGTGGACTACAAGGACACATCATCTTTGCATTCCTCCCATGTGGTTAAATGCCTGGAGCATCATAGCAAAGAATCATGGGTGAGTCATAGCCATGACATATCTGTATTGTGAGTTGTCTTATGGGAGGATCTGCTAGGTGGAAGGCTATGCCAAACCAATGCGACCTGTCACCTCCACTCTTTGAAATGAATGAGCCAAACCTCATTCTACATCACCCCCCCATGGACTGCAAATGGCCTGATAAGATGGTCTGTTTCTTCCTGCCTTTCTCCCCAATTCTTTTCTCTTCTTTTCTAGATCTGTGGCATGTGGCGGAATTTGCAGAAGTCCTCCATCCGGCTGCTGAAGGTGGATCAGATGCACATAACGCTGATCACCGAGACTCACCCTGCAGGGGAGATTCAAGGCCAGATTGTCAAGCATCGGGCCCTCTTTGCAGGTGATCTGTGGTTTAGGTAGCCAGGGTTATCCCTTGGGACTATTTCAAGAGTGGGAAGTTTTTAACCTTCCAAGTCACAAAGAGATCTACAAACTTGGTTCGAAAGATAAGGCATCCCTAATATAGAATATCATCCCAATCTGCTTGGACAACCTGAATAGGGATTGAACCTGACCTCTTCTGGGTTCACAGCTTTTCTTTTTTTCCAGAAAAGAATTTCCAGCTGTTGGGATCTTGCTGCTAAGTATTCTGGAAGGTGCAGTTCAAGACCCATGATGGAACCCAGAATGATGAAGGCCACGTTTGAATGTTGAATTTCAGGGTGTAGATTTGGTTTGGTTGCAAGCTCACTGGAGGTAGACAATTACAGAGAAGGCCTTGAAAAAAATATGTGGCAACTGTTAGGAAAACAGGAAGGTGTGAGAAAGAAACTCAAGGTTGCCCTGTCTTGCCTCTCTTTGGTATAAGAGGGAGGGAACAAGAAATGCTGCTAGGTTTTAAAGATTCTGTCATTATAGCCTGTATCAATACAGTTGAGTTCTTGTATTTCTTGTGGCCTCTGTTTCCTAACCTGGTCTCTCCTGAGGTCTGCCTCTGGATTATTTTGATTCGTAAACTACCTTATAGGTCTGAGGACATGGGAATAGTTCCACAACTATATATATGCCACCCTGAACTCCTCAAAAAAAAAAGAGAAAATAAGAAATATCATTATCAGTAGTAATACTCATGTTGAGTGGGACTCCTGGTGACTATATGAATATATCATGCTGGGTTTTTTGGCAGCAGTATGGAAGTACAGTGGTACCTCGGGTCACGAACGCTTCTGTTCATGACCAATTCGGGTCACGAACA